AGCCATGGCGGTCCTCGTATGTTTTTTATATCAAATTTGCATGAAAAAAATCTCATCACATACATGCTATGTCCGTGACGATCTTTAATCCACGCAGTCCGAAATAATCGGACGGCGTCAAGCCTATGGGCAAAAATACTATTCATTTTCACCCATAGGTGTTTTGTAGTCTCTTCTTATATATATATATATATATATATATATATTATTAATCTAGAGTTATGGGGTGGACACATGTCGTGAAAATAACAAAGGGACCCTAATTTTATAGAGATTGTAGGATACATTTCTAACTTTAGAGAAGTGAGATAGAATAAGCACTTATTTTAGGATAACTAAATTTGAAAGAGAGAGAGAGCGTATGAGTATGCACAAGAGAGAGATCTCAATATTGTTTCTATATCTCCATATTATTTCTCTCTCTCTCTCTCTCTCTATATATATATATATAGAAAAGTCTTAAAAACACCTATAGGCGAATTGCTGCAATGTTTTGCCCCCGTTACGGACATGCTATATCCATGACGGTTTTTCCTGAAAACTTCCATGGACCTACAGGCCACGGCAATCCTCGTATATTTTTTATGTCAAATTTACGTGAAAAGAATCCCATCATGGACATGTTATGTCTGTGACAAACCTCTATGGATATGCTATGTCCGTAACGATCTTTAATCCATAATGTTCGAAAAAATTGGATGGCATCAAACCTATGGGCAAAAATGGCGAAAATACCATTCATTTTCGCCCATGGGCGTTTTGTAGTATCTTCCTATATATATACACACACACATTCTATATTATTAATCTAGAGTTATGGGGTGGACACATTCCTAACTTTAGAGAAGCGAGATAGAATAAGCACTTATTTTAGGATAACTAAATTTGAAAGAGAAAGAGAGAGGGTATGAGTATACACAAGAGAGAGATCTCAATATTGTTTCCATATCTCCACATTATTTCTGTATCTTAATTAGAGAGAGGGAGAGAGAATGTGAATGTGCACAGGAGTGAGATCTCAACATTATGAGAAAATTTGAGAAGGAGAGAGAGAGCATGCACATGAGATAGAGAATGAGAGATTTTAGGAGAGATAAAATATTTTCATTGAAGCTTTTGAAGAGTAGACAAAGAAAAAATCTCTTAAAACACGAATTCAGGAAACCAAACTTTTAGTAGAATTTATTTTCATAAAAATAATAAGTAGTTAAAATTTTTTTATTATCTAAGAGGTGATTTGTGATTTATCAAATTTTTTATTAATAAATTTCTTTGATCATTGAATATTTAGTTAATATGCTACAAGTAATTGCATACGTGCAACACACATAATTCAACTAGTAGAAATTAATTAAATATTTTTACTGGATAATAGGTGTTTGATAAAGTGTTGAAGTATTTTTTCAACGTGAAGGTTCACACTAGAGCGATTCTATAAAAAGTTTAGGGAAAATTACAAATAACCCCCAAGAATGTACTTTTTATGCAACTTACCCCCAACCTAAGTTTTTCTCTCATTTTTTTCCCAAAACATACTTTCTATGCAAATACCCCCTCAACCAAAAAAAAGTAAAAAAAAGACTAAACTACCCTCTTTTTCTTTTTACCCTACCCACGCCTCTCTCTCCTCATGCTCTATGGACGATGCGACAGTGTGCAGCTTCGGTCCGGTAGGTAACTGTGGTGGTCCAACAGTAGAAGTTATTGGATCAAAAAGGGGTCTGGCGATAATAGAGCTGCTCCAGCAGTTTACATATACGGTCCGGCAATGGGGAAGTTCGGTCCAGTTGATGTTTTCTTGTCAACATGGGGTCCAACTGTTGACAAGTTCAGATCGGCAAAAATGACACCTAGCAGTTTACTAGTGCAGTCCGACAATGTGCTACTGGTTGGTCAGTCAACAAGTTCAGATCGGCAAAAATGACACCTAGCAGTTTACTAGTGCAGTCCGACAATGTGCTACTGGTTGGTCAGTCAACGTTAATATCCAGTCAAAATGCTTTTTTGTGTATGAGAATGGCATTTTCGTCTAAAAAAATTAACTTTTTGAATTGGGGGTATTTGCATAGAAAGTGTAATTTGAGGAAAAAAAAGTGAGAGAAAAAGTTCGATTGGGGTAAGTTTCATAAAAAGTATATTCTTGGATTTTTTTTTTTAGTAATTTCTCAAAAGTTTGCCCCAATTTGTGATGCTTATCAAATGATTTTGCCCCCCAAATAATTATTGCTCTTATGAGAGCACACTATCCATTTACTCCACGAGGTAAAACTCCATATAGGATTTTCTTTTTTACCCTAAATTTTTGAGATGTATCCTCTAGCGACCAACTTTAAAAAAAAAGAAAAAAGAAAATTAATGTTCGATAGATATCTGAATGTAGATTGTCCAATTTTTAACAACTATATGTAAGTGTATCTCAAATTTTTTGAACAATTCCAATTTTTAAATTTTTATTTTTCTAAAATAATCATGTAGTGATTTTTAAATGGAACCCAAAATTTCAATTCAATAATTCATCCTATTCAACTTTTTTACTTA